GCACAGATGCAAGCTCAGGCCTCGCCCTTCGGGCCTCAGAACGGTGCCTCCTTCATCATGAGCCCCAGCTCTGGGCTGAGAACCACCCAGAACCAAGAAGGTGGGCGGAGAACCGGCCCGTGGAAGTCGTGAGGCCCAGGGAGTTCTGGCCACGGAATACTTTAAAAAAAAGGAGATTGAAGAATAACAAAACTGCCCAGCCGGCGTGGCTCAGTGGTTGAGCATCAACCTATGAACCAGGAGGTCATGGTTCGATTCCTGGTCAGGGCACATGCCCGGGTTGTAGGCTCGATCCCCAGTAGGGGGTGTGCAGGAGGCAGCCAATCAAGGCTTCTCTCTCATCAATGTCTCTCTCTCTCTCTCTTCCTCCCTGAAATCAATAAAGATATATTTTAAAAAAGAATAACAAAACTAGCTAATGGATTCTGCCTCATTGAAGGAATTCATAAATATGTAACATTTTTATAGAGACAGCAGCTGCCCGTCAGAAGCTCAAGCCGCCAATCCCACTGAGATTTCTCTGCTTCTGTTTCTCTACTGAATCTCTCTGGCGCTGGCGCTGTGACCTGCGTGCCACTCGCTGGGGCCTCACTCAGCCTGTGCTACTACTACTGACCCACCTCACGGTGGTGGGGCCCACAGGCAGGCAGCAACACAACGCCCGCTGGGGGAGAGAAAGGGTCAACAAAGAGCCGAACCCATGCCCTGGCCGGAGTGCTCAGTGGTTAGAGAGACGGCTCCCGGACCCAAGGGTTGCAGGTTTGACCCCCAGTCCTGGTTGGGGGCATGCAGGAGGCAACCAACTGATGTGACTCGCTCACATCGATGTTTCTCTCTCTCTTTCCCCTCCCTTCCTCTCTCTCTAAAAATCAATGGAAAAACTTGGGTGAGGATTACCACCCCCCAAAAAAAAGAGCCAAACCTGCCTGCAATTGTGGGCCAAGCCTCAGCCGGGATCCAGTCCCCACCGCCCAGGGCCACCCCCCAGGCCTCCCAGCCGGTCCTGCTTCCTTCCTCTGGTTCCCCGTCCCCTCCAGCCCGCGGGAAGGGGACCAGCGCGTGGACACGTACGCGCAGGGACAGGAACACGGTGCTGGCGCTCACAGCGAAGGACAGAACCGCGGCCACGGAGCACAGGAGCAGGTCCGACTTCAGGACGTCCTTCTGGGGCGAGAAAGCGGCCGTCAGGGTTATGTCTCTGTGTTTCCCTCGGCAACCCTGCCACCAAGCAAATCAGGCCCCAGCGCAGGGACCCTGGACAAGCTTCCCAGCGGGGAAGTCTTTATAATATACTATTAAATCTCAAAGAGCTAAGTTCCTCTTTCTTATACTTCTTTTTCAGATTTTTAAAGCTTTTAGCTGCTATTCTTTTTTTAAAAAAAATATATTTTATTGATTTTTACAGAGAGGAAGGGAGAGAGATAGAGAGTTAGAAACATCGATGAGAGAGAAACATCGATCAGCTGCCTCCTGCACACCCCCTCCTGGGGATGTGCCCGCAACCAAGGTACATGCCCTTGACCGGAATCGAACCCGGGACCCTTCAGTCCGCAGGCCGACGCTCTATCCACTGAGCCAAACAGGTTAGGGCATCTTTTTTATTATTATTATTGATCTTAGAGACAGGAAGGGAGGGGGAGAGAGATAGGGAAAGAAAGAGAGATACAGAGAGACTAGAGAGAGAGAAAGGCAGAGAGAGAAAGAGAAGAAGAGAGAGACAAAGAGAAAAAAGAGAGAGAATAAGACGGCCAGAGAAAGACACAGAGAAACAAATCCAGACACAAGGAGGGAATCTTATGCTCACATTACAGCACAAGAATATTATGCATCAAACCGTGAAAGCTGAATCCGACGGTCTCATTAAAATATTATAATTGGGCCGGAAGCCTCGCAGAGAAGGGCACACACATCACATGAAATCCCCTACCAGGACGGCTCTACCTCATGCTGAGCCTTTCAAAGTGTGCGAGACCCATGCAGGCAGGCCCCTCCCGGCACCTCCAGCCACACGCACGAGAGGCCATCGGGCGCCGCTGGCCGCAGCTCACTGCTCCACGTGTGACTTGTGCCACAACAAAGCAGAGAGCGCGGCCACCAGTCCCGACTCGGAGGACCCCCCGGGGGAGGGGGAGACCTGGGGCCGCGGCTGTCACGGGCCCTGGCGTGGCCATGCCAGCGCGATCCTGCGTGTGCGGCTCCCCGCGTGCCATGCGGTGCCCGGACTGTCCCCCGGTGGCTCACCACCGAGTCTCTCATCTTCCCCGGGAGAGGGTCCTCCGCCAGCTCCTCCGGGTCCGGGCGGGAGCTTTTAGGAAACCATCTGCGCCGAACGAAGGACCTGGAAGTGGGAGGACACGTGTTTGACTGTTGGGAACGTGGCCGTGGCCTTGGCCGTGGCGAGACCTCAACGCGGACCCCACACTCACAGAGACGACATGAGGCTCTCTCCTTCCCCATAAGGAAAAGGGCCCGCATTCGAGGCAGCGGGGCCACTGGCTGGGCACAGAGAGGGTCTTGGCTGAGGCGGGCGCTTCTCAGATGCTCGCCCATGGGAAAGGCCAGGCAGGCTTGGGCTTCGGGCTCCCCACTCCCTTCTCACCTCCCCCACCATGCACCCC